TTCAGGGTTTAGGGTTTAGTAGGGCTTAGTGATGAGAACAGGGTTTCGAGAAGAGCTAGGGGGAATACGATCAGCACGTCAGACTTCAACATGAGGTTGCGAGGTGTTCCTAAGGTCTAGATTTCAGATTTTGGGGTTCAGGGTGTAGGGTTAAGGGTTGAGGGTTTAGGGGTTTAGGGTTTAGGGTTTAGGGTTGAGGGTTTGGAGTCGTGGGAGGAAGCCGGCTGCGTTATTTTTGTATATGTTCCAGACACCAAGACACATAAGCATAAATCATTGAAGCCTGCCCCCCTGCATGGGGGCATTGCCTTCAAGAACGCGGAAAGGTGTTTTGCTTGTGACCGGGGATATGTGGCATCAGTGGGCTCCGAATGCAGTCAATGCCTGAGATTGCAAGTCTTTAACGCTCGAAGCCCTAAACCCTAAACTCTAAACCCTATAAATCCTAAGCTCCAAACTCCTAAACCCTGAACTTGATCACCAAGCCCCTAAACCGTATAAAATCCTAGACCCAAATTCTAAACCCTACTTCGTATTACTTCTTAAGCCGTATATAAACCCTAAGCGCTTATAAGCCCTAGAAGCCCTATAAAACCCTAAGCCCTAAACCCCATTCAAACCCTAAACCCTAAACCCTAAACCTCCAAACCCTAACCCCTAAACCCTAGAAGCCCTAAGCCCTAAAACCCTAAACCCTAGAAGCCCTAAACCCCTAAACCCCAAACCCTAAACCCAAAGCCCTAGAAGCCCAAAGCCCTAAACCCCTAAACCCTAAACCCAAAGTCCGCAACCCTAAACCCTAGAAGCCCTAGAAGCCCTAGAAGCCCTAGAAGCCCTAGAAGCCCTAGAAGCCCTAGAAGCCCTGAGCCCGAAAAGCCACAAAATCTGATCCGCCAGGTCAGGCTTCGTCTGGTTCGCTTTTCGGCGGTGCGTGTGGGCCTCGGGGTCGTTCCTGCACTGAAGGCTTCTAGAGGGTTTAGGGGTTTAGGGGCTTTGGGGGTTTAGGGAATTGAGGGGTTTAGGGGTTTGGGGGATTTAGGGGTTTAGGGGATTCAGGGGTTTAGGGGTTTAGGGGATTAGGGGTTTAGGGGAATTAGGGGTTTAGGGGATTTAGGGGTTTAGGGGTTTAGGGGATGTAGGGGTTTAGGGGAATTAGGGGTTTACGGGATTTAGGGGTTTGGGGGTTTAGGGGTTTAGGGGTTTAGGGGCTTGGGGGTTTAAGGGTTTAGGGGTTTAGGGGATTTAGGGGTTTAGGGGTTTAGGGGTTTCAGGCTGGGGTACCTTAAGGGCTCCTCCAAAGCTGCCACTACAATTATCAAAAAGGATTTGTTCATAGAGGGGCCTTAGAAGGTGGTTTTTGGGGCATATTGTAGTATAATTCTGAGCAGGTACTCTGCGGACTAGCATTGCTAAATATTCATGCTTTTACATTACAGCTTACTTTAAGAGCTTGCAGTTTCCCAAAAGGTCAAGCTACTTCTCCCACATTGCATTTTGCAGCTGAGGCCCGCAGCATCACCCTTTGGAGCTCCGAGCACCGCACCGGGCGCCTCCCCGTTCCAGGCGCTGGTAACAGTCCATGTGCCGTGCCCAAGCGGTATCCCTAACCCTCCAGGTCTTGTCTTGTCTTGTCTGCGGACCGTAGAGCCCTCGTTAGGGCGCGTCCCAAAACTCATGCATTAAATTCAACTATTGTCGGCAGTATGCATTCAGGGATGCCAATTTGCACCCTTGGCACAGTAATCTGCCAAAAGGGGAAGGATGTAACCAGCTCACATCGCTTTGTATGTGACAAAAGCTGTCCCCCCACTCGCATCCAGAACTCAAGACATCACTGCAAGTTCCTGAGCTGGCAACGTCTTCACATCAAGACCTCCAGCCATTGACTCCACAGACTGTTCGGCTAGCTGTCGGATCCGGCTTCGCATCGATACCAGATTGGTCCCAGTGCTTTGCTGCAGAAAGAGACGCAAGGCCTTGAGGGATACCGCCCCATGCTCAAACAACGCTGCCACAGCATGATCCACAAGATCTTGAGTCAGCACCTGTATCGGCTCTGTAGCAGGCGTATCGCGTACCCAATTCCCATGGCGGGCCATTGTCCGGGTACTGGGGGCTTCGCTATCCGCTGCTGCGGTGTTCGAGCCCCTAACCCTCCAGGTGCCTACTATCTAGGAGTCGAGCCCTATATGTAATTGCGGGAGATGTCTCAAGCACCAACACTTCACGGAAAGGCAGCGAGCAGAAGTGCGTCCTCCAGCAGCACAGGCGGGAGTGGCTCTCATAGCTATGAGGTTTAATTAAGGTTTGGGGGGGGCTACGAGGTGCGGAGATTGCAGTTGAGGAAGCCTTTCCTTGTGCTGAATAGCCGCGATGGTTTTGGTGGTGCTGTTCAACATCTTGTCTGTTGCGCATCACAATGCCTTCAAGCAGATCCTTGGTCAGGTCTCGCTTCTTCTGGGATGCCTTTCGGCGGTGCGTGCGGGCCCCTGGGTTCTGAACATTGCGGTTGAGGGACCCGGCTTCAGAAACTTAATGTAGCAAGTCTTACTATGAATGGGACGATAGCTGCCGTACTCAGCAGGTGACCGCGGCTATGTAGTCCTGATGAGTGCCAAGACGGCGTGTACAATTCGCGGACTGGACAATCGAAGACAATCTTGCCACTGCTGGCTACACTCGAAATAGATCATGACGGTCTTCTGGTACCACATATAATATATATATATATATATTATATATATATAATATATATATATATATATATATATACTTTTTGTTATATATATATATATAGAGAGGCACGAACAAGATATTACGGGCCAAAGCCTACCCTAAACCCCGAAACCTTAAACCCCAAACCCTGAGCCGTCTTTGGCGGGACGAGGGCAGTGTGAAAGTCCAACGCACCCCTTGAACAAACTCATAAACCCCAAACCCTCAAACCGTAAGCCTAAACCCCAAACCCTCAGCCCTAAACCCTAAAATCCAGAGACCCTATCCCTGACTCTCCAGGTACCTACTATAGAGGGTACTAGAGCCCCCAGGGTCCTACATAGTAGGTGCCTGGAGGGTTAGGGTATAAGCTCAAAACCCCAAACCCGAAACCCTAATCCCCATACACCTCCCCTTAAACCCCAAACCCAAAACCCTAATCCCTCTAAACTCCCCTTAACCTTGTAATAGCTCTAAGCGCCATACTGTAGCCCTAATCCTTATAAACTCCCCTTGACCCTATAATGGCTCTAAGCCCCAGAGCCCTCTTCTCTACAAACTCCCCTTAACCCTATAATAGCTCTAAGCCCCATAGCCTTACAAGTGCTTTTCGGGCGACCTGCACTTTCTTCACATCCAAAGCCAGAACGAGCTCCAGTAGTGGAGGTTTTGGGCTGACTTTAGGACATTGGGGTTTAGTGTTTAGGAAGTTTAGGGCTTTAGGATTTTTTGGGGTTTAGGGCTGAGGGGTTGCAGGCAGTAGGGCTCAATTCTTGAATTTTTAAGGGTTTTAAAACTTCTAGAGTCTGGGTGTCTTGGGTTTCAACCTTCTTGGGATTCTAAAGCTGAGGCCAGCGGCATCACCCTTCGCGGCTCCGAGCACGGCACCGGGCTCCTCCCCGGCCAAGGCGCCAGCTTTCTGTGTGGGTTAAGGGCACAGAGACCCGAAGGCTCTCATGGACTCATTTAGGGTTTAGGGTTTAGGGCTCTAGGGACTCATATTATAAGGCTTTTTGGGCCCAAAGACCATACTAAGTAAGGCGTTTGGGCTTTTTGAGCCTTAGGGACAGTATACAGGGGCAAACCGTCACAAGCATTTGCAAAAGCTCGTTTTCTTCATTCCGCTACGGGATGCAGTCAGCCGGGCACCACGCTGCTTCGCCTCAGGATGATCCGTGGGCCGGCGGACATGACCCCTGGTCGCAGGCACAGTTCACCCGGAAAACACCGCCGGCGGCATCGCCGGCGTACAGCGGTGGTTTGCAAGGGATTTGGCAAGCAGTTTCTACATCGCGGCAGAGCGTCACCGCATGTTCAGGCTCTGCGTTTCGCCTTCAAAGCAAAAGGATCAGCATGCCTCAATCGAAAACGCCTGAACTGCGCAGGAGACGTGTTAAGCGTTTTGTGGGAAGGCAGCGAAAGCAGGCGCATCCTCCAGTGCCAGCAGCAGAGGTGGGAGTGGATCTGGCCGCTTCGGGGAGTAGAAATCCTGTCTGTCTTACAGAGCCATCCTGTGCCATACATCTGCATGCAATTTGTTGTTCATGTAGGGTCCATTGCAGTACGAACTGTCATGCCTTTTGTGCTCCTCGAGCACAGACATCCGTTGCCAGGTCCCGCCCCTCCCGGGCCGCTTTTCGGCGGTGCGTGTAGGCCTCGGTTGGGGACATTGCGGTGTCGGGATCAAGCTGCTGAGGTTAACACAGCGAGTCGCACCATGATTTGATGATATAGCAGTGCTCACGTTCACTTCCGTGCATGTCGTGTTGCCGTGGATGGGAACTGGATAGGGTGCTACTTCACGGATAAGTTGAGAACATCCACATTGATATTGATAATGCTGTAAGGTTTGCAGGACTGCTGGCTACACTCAGTACTAGAAACGAAAGAACTAGAGCAAAGACGAGGCCAACATGATCGCTCTTGCTCTCCACTTCGCTCCTTTCTTCCTCGCATTTTGAAGCTGAGGCCTGCGGCATCACCTTTTGCAGCACCGAGCACCGCATCCGGCTCCTCCCCGTTTCAGGCACCTTTCTTATGGTCTTGCAAAGCTACCCATGACCCTAACTCCCCAGGTACCTACTATATAGGGTACTATATAGGGTACTAGAGCCCTTAGGGCCCTATATAGTAGGTACCTGGGCGGTTAGGGGTGATTGCCATGGCGGCAGAGTGCCACCAGCAATCCTTAGCGCTAACGGCCAGAACTGCACATGGGACCTTTGGAGTCCCGAAGCTGTGCGAGAAGGCAGCGAGCGCCCGGGCGTCCTCCTCCGGCAGCACAGGTGGGAGTGAATCTGGTAGTTTGGCCTTCGGTTTCGGAGTGTGGAGATACACAGATCCGTTTGCAGGTCCGGCCTCTTCTGGGACGCTTTTCGGCGGTGCGTGTGGGCCTCGGTCGGCAACACTGCGGTTGCGGGCTCATGCTCCGGGAGCATCATTGAGCACTCGATGAACTTCTATCTGTGCGGCATTACCGTGCTCCACAGGTGGCTGTGTAGTTCAAACATGTTTTGCTTGGGGAACTGGATAGGGTGCTGCTTCCCGGATAAGTCGAGATCACCCATCTTGATATATCGATGATGCTGTAATAAGGTTTACAGGAATGCTGGCTACACTCAGTACTACTTTAACCCACCAGCACCTACTTCTTGGTAGGGTCCCTACAAATCCCATATTAGGGTTGACAATATGAACCTACAAAACACAGGGTTTCGGTAGGTGAAGGGTAGGTAGGAACGAGCAAGGTTACAGAGGCCATCCTGAGGTGGTGCTCTCAAGTTTAGGGTTTACCCTAAGGGTCCAAAGGACCCAATAATAGGGTACTTTGGTTGCGGATAGTAGTTGTCTAAGTTAAAATTCGGGAGATTATATGATTATTAGGTACGTGGACCCTTAGGGTTAGGGTTTGTCTCCTCCCTTCCTTGCGTTTTGCAGCTAAGGCCTGCGGCGTCTCCCTTTGCAGCACCGGGCACCGCGCCCGGCTCCTCCCCTTTTCAGGCACCGGCTTCCTGTAGAAGCCTTTTAAATTCCTATACTATTTCGGGGGTTCCTTAGTATAACTATAGTACCATATAGCTTCATAGCTTCATAGCAGCATATACCCCAAAACCCTTTTCTATTTTTTTTGAGACCCCTGCATTCGCCTTCCAAGCTTCTGGAAAATCAGTTGTGCTTCCGCTTTCCCATGGCTTTGCACGTAAAGGCTCTAATTTTTGCCTTGAACCCCAAAGGGTCCAAGTTATAGTATAGCATATACTTTTGGGGCCCAAATACCTACAAAGTAGCTACCATATTAATACTTGGACCCTTTGGGACTCTGCAGAGGACGTTTGAGCCCCGAAGCTTTGCGGAAGGCAGCGAGCGCTGGCACGTCCTCCAGTGGCAGCAGCACAGGTGGGAGTGGGCATCGTCGTTTGGATATCCTGTCTGTCTTATCAAAGCCATAGCACACATGGTTGTTTTTGACTTCTGGTCCATCTCTGGGGCTGTCCGACGTTAGAGTACATAGTGTGATGAATGTGTTGGCAGTACTTCGAGGACACAGATCTGTTTGCAGGTCCGGCCTCTTCTGGAACACTTTTCGGCGGTGCGCGCAGACCTCGGCTGGGAATATTGCTGTGTCAGGTTCACGCGGAAGGTTAACCCAGCGAGACGCATCATGCAACTGAGTATGACGATTCTGTGAGCTTCTATGTACACGTGGTAAGGCCTCCAGAGATGCTGTCTATAGAACAACGACGACAAGGAAACCCTAAGCCTCAAACCCTAAACCCTATAAGCCCTAAGCCCTATAATCCCTATAAGCCCTAAACCCTAAACCCTATAAACTGTAAACCCAAAGCCTAAACCCTATAAAGCCTATAAGCCCTAAACCGTGAATTGAAGCTGAGGCCTGCGGCATCACCTTTCGCTCCGAGCAGCGCCCCGGGATCCTCCCCGTTCCAGGCACCAGCTTCCCCCGTGTTGCCTGGGGCATTAGGGTTTATAGGGTTTATAGGGTTTATAGGGTTTATAGGGTTTAGGGTTTTAGGGTTTAGGGTTTAGGGTAAATAGAGGGTATACGATTTAGGTTTTACCCATAGGCCCCATAGTAGTTCCTATATAGGGTTTATAGGGTTTCCTGGGGGAAACCCTAACAGGGCATCTGCAAGCGCTAGTTTTGTTAAGTCCGCTTTCTTGCGCGCTCTTGCACAGCTGCCGATGATTGCCATCCCGGCAGAGCGGAACCGTACGTTCAGGCTCTGCATGTTGCCTTGACACGAAGCACATTCAGCAATCCTCAACCCCAAACTCGAAACCCTGAACCCCGAACCCTCAGCTTGAACCCGAAACTTTGCGGGAAGGCGGCGAGCGCAGGCGCGTCCTCCAGTGGCAGCAGCACAGGTGGGAGTGGATCTCACAGTTTGGTCTTCGGGGTGTAGAGAGTCTACCTTTTAATAAGAGCCATGCCATACAGCACAACTTCCTTTAGGACTTAGGATGCAGACCAGCTAGAGTGTCTATGCAGATCCGTTGCCAGGTCCCGCCTCTTCTGGGACGCTTTTCGGCGGTCCGTGCGGGTCTCGGTTGGGAACATTCCCTATCCCCCCAAGTACCTACTATATAGGGTACTAGAGCCCCTAGGGCCCTATATAGTAGGCACCTGGGGGGTTAGGGATTGCTGTCACCGGCTTCGAGCTTCAAAGGTTCACGCAGCAAGTGGGGGTTTCCGAAATGAGGGGTACCTTTTTGGGGTCCTTTATAATAGGGATCCTACTATTT